AATTGCAACACTTTTGGGACGCACAATATATATGTGCGTGGATGAACAATCTAGTCTTTTGAGGTCTGAGCCTCGGAAAGTGTTCTACATACTGTACCTATTCGAAAATGGCAACAATGGTCTCCTTTGTGAGAGGCGCGTGGATCAAATACAATAAGACAGACGTTGCGCAAACCAGTTTTCCTTTTTTGACCAGATAATCTCATCAAATGGACAGTGATCCTAAGGCTTTGCATGGCTACGGCATTGCAGGCAACGTTAATGTCCCATCCAGTGCTTGATATCTGCTGCCCGGCTTCCTGCTCTTGACTTCTCTGGGATCTACATAACATGTCCTCCCCATATTCAAGGGACGCATCTCGCTCCTATTTGATACCTCTTATCCTTGGCTTCCTCTCCATCCTCATAACTATCTCCATTCTCACACTCACACGGCTCCTAACCATTCTCGTCCGTCCCAGAGCCACTTCTCTTGGTCCTACACGTCCAACAACTTCCAGCAGACATCCTACCCATCTACTCATTGTCCTGGGAAGTGGGGGCCATACCGCCGAAATGCTCAACATGCTTCGCTGTGTACCACTCTTATCTCTAAAGTTCACCTATCGAACCTATGTGGTGTCATCCGGTGACGGATTCTCTGCTCTTAAGGCAAGGGAGTTCGAGATGGAGATCGCTGGACATCAAGCAGATCCCGCGAAGACCCAGGAGGCAGGAGAGATACTGCACACCATTCGCGGAAGCTACGATATCGTGGCTGTTCGTCGAGCGCGTCGGGTCCACCAAAGCCTATTCTCAACGCCTTGGACGGCATCTTTGTGTGTGTGGGATTGCATCAGAGTGATCATGGACAGAAATCCTCGTCGAACCGGACTTCCGCCACACCAATCATGTAATATCCAAAACCCTGGATATCCTGATCTAATCCTCACCAACGGTCCTGGGACAGGCGTCTGTGTGGTCTTGGCATCCCTTATTGTACTCTTCTTCGGCTTCAGTGGCCCTGCATCGTCCACATCCGGTGAGAAGTTCGAGGAAAAGCCAGACAGGCTATCACGATGGCAGCAGTCAGGCCAGATGAGGACCATTTTCATCGAATCGTGGGCACGGGTCAAGACTTTGAGCTTGAGCGGGAAAATCTTGTTACCCTTCGTGGATCGTTTTCTTGTCCAATGGCCGGCTTTAGAGGGCAAAGGGGGTGGCAAAGCAGAATTTGTGGGAGCTTTAGTTGCATGAGCCTTCGTCGGAGAGTGAGGTGTATCCTTCACCATTGCCTTCGAAGATATTAGGGCCACGTCCATACCTTCTATGACCTGTTTCTATGCAACATTTCTTGGGAATTTGCCCCAGGATCCCACTTCGAAGTTACCTACTATCCAATATCCTTGTCTGGTCTTGAAGCACTACCTCGTCACCATATCCTCACGTCTTGGACCCGTCCCAATCCATTTCACTTCGATTCCCACCCATTTTTCAATGAACGACACATACTCCTTGGCCCTTTCTGGCAAGTCCTCCCACCTTCTACATCCTGTCGTTTCTGCCTTCCACCCTTCGAAGGTCTTGTACACGATCTCTATCCGATCCATTTGATCAAGGTCCGCCGGGAAAGTATCGAGCTCCTCACCATCTAGTTTGTATCCAATCGCGACCCGGATTTCCTCAAATGAATCCAAGATATCGAGCTTAGTGAGGTTGATTTGTGTATAGCAGTTGACTTGCGCAGAGTACTTGACGAGCACAAGGTCCAACCAGCCACACCTTCTTCGTCGCCCAGTTGTGACTCCGAATTCTCTACCTATTTTTTGTAGCTTTTCGCCATAGTGAACGTCTCCTCCGTCCCTTTCTGGTGTCAACTCGGTTGGGAAAGGACCCGAGCCGACTCGCGTAGTGTATGCTTTGACGACACCAATGATTGAGGAGCCAGGTGTTGAGAACGCAAGAGGAGACAATCCTCCCAATCCAGTGAAGACGCCTCCGAGGCCGGTATTAGATGAGGTGACAAAGGGGTAAGTGCCATGGTCTATATCAAGCAGAAGGGCGTTTGCGCCTTCAATCAGAATGTTGTGAGATGGTCGCTCTTGCAGTGTGACAACACCGTTAGCGACAGGTGGAGGCGGAGCTGGAGTTGATGCGGCAGCGAGTAGTGGTGTTTGAGCGATGACATACTGCGAAAGCGTTTTGCGATAGTCCTGCGTTGAGTCCAGTCAATTGCTGTGACATTTGCACGTATGGTAAGAAACATGCCTTGCACCTTCTGACCTCACCCTCCAAGTCGTAGCCGCCGAGTGCTTCATCGCCATATAATCTCCGGTATCCCTTCTCCAAGTCTCTCAGCCTCCCCTCCCACCGTCCCTTACCTTCCTTTTCCTGACTCACGAGCATCCAAAATGGTACTCCTCTCCTTGCCACCTTATCAGCATAACACGGTCCAATGCCCTTCCTCGTCGTCCCAATCTTCCCCTTCCCACCGTCCTTTTTGCCCGACACATCCTCCACGATACCGTCGACGGCAACATGCAGGTCAAAACATACGTGAGCACGGTCACTGATCAATATTCTTTCTCTCACTCCAGTCAAGCCCTTCCGTTCCAAATCGTCCAGCTCCTTGAAGAATGACGGGACATGCACGACGCATCCAGCGCCGATCAGATTGACTGTGCAGGCTGGGTTGATAAGACCAGAAGGAAGGATGTGGAAGTCATAGGTGGTGTTGTCAACCACGATTGTGTGACCAGCATTATTGCCTCCAGCTGCACGGCAGCAGAGAGTGGAGCGTTGGGCGAGGATGTCGACAAGTTTGCCTTTGCCTTCGTCGCCCCACTGAGAGCCGAGGACAAGAGTAGTGGGCATGTTCAGGACGAGGGAAGACAGGAACGGTTTGCCAGTACTCAGTGACGCGTGGGTAAAATCTCATTCTGAAGTGGTAAAAAACATCTTTTGCAGAGTCAATTGTTTCCCCTAAAACGACCTAATTGATGCGATGGGGTAACTGTACCATAGAAATTGCTAGAGGGGTACATATTACTTCGATGACGCTATTTCTGGCTCAAAAAAACATTTCATACTAGTAGATGCAACACCATCAAATGCACGAGTTAAAAGGCACCATATGTCTCTGAACCATCGATGGCCCTACGCCGACTCAAGGCTGCACAGCATGGAGGCGGTCTCACATCTCCAGGAAGATCCTGTCGTGCAGAGCACTATCCACTCTAAACCTGGCCTGCAGCTTGGCTCATGGGTGAATCCAACATGTAGCTGATCCACCAGGTCTCACAACTGGTCCTCATCATTGGGATCAGGCACACCTTCTTCGGCCTCGCTTCCAAGCTCTTCGGCCACCAGGTCTTGATCACCTCCTGCTCCATTTCCTTCCACCAACTCCTCGTCCTCACTACTTTCCCCGCTTCCGTCACTTAGGCCTTCACTGCCTGGATCATAGTCTTCCTCCTCCTCATCCTCGGCATCCTCTAACTCCTGCTGCGCCTTCTGCAGCTCACTCTGCTCCTCCTCTTCCCCTACTCCACCCTTGTCGTCTCCTTTCACAGCACCGTTATGCTTCAACTTTTTAGCCTTCCTGCTTTCCGCCAAACTGGCATCTTGCAGTCCATGACGCTTGATGTATACATCAATACCAGCAAAATCAGCTTGATCGATCATGGAGAATTCGTGCTCCTTAAGCTCTTCTTGATCTGGCAGCTGCACAGCTATATTCAGGTTGAACGTTCGTTGTAATACCGACGTGTATGATATTGAGTTGATTACCTCAAAAGGGAAGAATGCCAGCGGCTTCTTGAATCCGAAGAATATGCCAGTAGCCAGGAAGTACAAGTAGCCTGGCCACCATCAGCATGTAACCCAACATAGAGCACCATTACGACTTACCATCTTTGCTCCCCCTGAATGCTTTGACGTGATAGGCCTTCTCGCCCTTTCTATGCGCTTCTGGCGTTGCGCGTACAAATTCATCATCATTGGGTCCAACGACTTTGCCGGCCCTGGTATTCTCTAAGCACTTGTTTAGAGTCTGCTCAATGAGACTACCATCCTGTAAATGCTCGGAGTTTCCCGACCCCTTGTCGTTGAATGTAGTTAGCTTTTGCGGGCCGTCACTGACTGTCCATACAAGCGGTTCATTCGGATCACTGCCATTTGTGGAGAGCTTATCGCCTATACCTAAACCCGCCTCAGGCAAGAAGACAAAATTATGCTGTTTTTGGGCTTTTTCTGGGACTGGTAGTCGCAGAGCGTATTCTGATGGTCGCTTGTTAGTAGAATATCTTGCATAAAATGTGGAAGAGAGTATATGTATACTGAATGCTTGCATGCCCACCTTGTATTCTATCTCACCGGAAGCTGGGTGGCGCGCTCGAAGCTGATAGACTTGTGCACCATGACTAGACGGGGAAGTAACTTTTGCAACCTCAAGATGCAGTTTCTTGCGCATGGGTATTGAAAAGGAGAGATCTCTAGCTTCGAACAAGACCTTCGAGTTGTGATCCGGCAGCGATTCCCCACCGGCGGGTGATGCAGTACCATTTTTCAGCTTTCGCTTCTTCGTTGCTGGCTCAATTGCTTCTTCATCACAGATCCCGTTGCCGGCCACGTCACTTCGCAGATCGCGGACATACTCTGCGATCTCAACGTAAATGGGGACATCACTGGGGTGTTTGCCTAGTCGCAAGCATCAGTGTCAAGTCAGGAAAGGCCACGCGCAACCTTACGCATAGCATCGTGAACTTTCTTTGCTAGCTCTATCCTCTCACTAAAGGCGTCATCAATCAGCGCCTGATGAGCCATCACCCTGACACGTTGAACTTCCACGATGCGGATGTGCAAAGACGTGAGGTCGATTGCTCCAGTCGCAGCCCAGCCGACATAGAAATCGGCGCTTGCGGCAGGGAATGCTGCACGGCATAGCCGGGGATGCGTTGTAACTTTAGCACAAACTCTAAGTGCGACGACCTCCGCTGGTTGTAGGAGTGGCTGCAGCAACAAAACGTCTGCAGATGAATATGAAGAAGCAGTTGCGGTTCTTGCGAGCTGCTTCTCTTTTTCAAATAGATATTTGTATATCTTGGCTCAAATTACGCTGCTTTTATAACTTGCATGTGCTCTAAACCAGCTGAACGCAATTTCTCAGCGAGCAATCTGATGCAGAAAAAAGCCCAACCGAGCTTTTCCGAATGCAGCGTTTTGACATCCATTCAATTTGTCGAGTCTAGAGCCATGAACGACCAGCGGAGCAATTCCTACCTTTCCGGAGCAAGCTTGCAGAAGAGGTCATGTGCTCAATCTTACTTTGGCAGTAACAGCGAGGACAGCATGCTCGGTGACATTCCAACCTGCCAACAAGTATTCTAATTAGAGGGCTCACCATAGAATAACCATTTTTGTGCTGTTCAATTTAACGATGCTATTAGTTGTGCTCGGGAGGCGATGGGGACAGTGAAGATATCTTATATCCTTTATGACAGCGTCTGTTGGTCCATACTGCGATGAAAGAAAGCTCATATCACCTGTTTAAGAAGACACGAATAATATTGGGCTTTGTGCGAAGTCTTCGCTTTGACATAGTATCATTTGTAAGCCCTTGGCCGCTATCAATAAACCCGTCCAGTCCTCGCCCATAGTCATAGCAGGCCGTCAGGTGGTCATAGAAAAAAACACGCCCACAGGATTTTTTTGGTTTGTTGAGAACTCGGATGTGCTCTTTGGCGATTTTTTAATCTTAGAAACTAGTATGCTCGCATTATTCCGAATTTTGAAAGGCTCTTCTTAGTAAAAACCCACCGAAATTTCTTCCACTTTAGAGCAGATGCATTCTGAATCACCAAAGACGACCTTCTTGTGCATGAAGTCGAGCGCTCCATCGTAGTGAGAAATGTGTACGAGATCTTGAGGATATGCGATAAGTAGCAGCAGGCCTTGTCATGTTATCCAAATCTTAGAGCGAGCTTTCAACAAGACACCATGAGCTGCGTGAAGAAATAGTGCTGCATGGACTATGTTGGAGTGATCTTTTAGAAACGTCATGTGGCAAAGCTTCCCCCGGGCTAGTATCACTCTCGACTGTTTCCCACTTTCGCTTTGTAAAACCTGAGACAAAGTTTCGAGACCATTCAGATGGTTGGGGCGATGGTTGATCCGGTTCCACAGGAGGCAGATGTCTATCCTCGGCAAAGGAAGTGAACTGTCTACCCTCTGCCTCTGGGAAGAAGATTCTATGGTGTTGCCCTTGGCAAAACAGGGCGGAACGTTGTATAACATTCTTACGCGCCTCTTTTGAGTAGCTTTGCTCACAACACTCTTCAAGTACATATACCAGATATCGAATTTTCTGATCTCTCACATGGATCTCTCGGTCTTTCTGTTCGATGACTCGGTCTTTCTTGGCGAGCTGTTCTTGAGACAATATCTTCATTCGCTCAACCATGAGCACATGGATGTTGTAAGCAGCCAGAATGATATCTTTAGTCGGTGCTTTGGCGGAATCAAGCGTCCAGTTGACTTTCTTGCCAGCTGTCTCAAGGGCATAATCACTGACATGCTCATACATGAACACTAGGGACTTTTTGTGCTCATAGCGTCGGTATCGCTCTGTATCAGCATGCTTCCTTCTGCTCCTTTCTTTTAGTGTTTCAGCACCGCAGTCTGTCGCCTTGGTTTGGGACTTTGGAGCTTTCTTGCCACGCTTTTCTGGCTCGACGTTGAGTTCGTTTGAACTGTACGGCGGACGATCAGGTGATATCTCAGAACAACGTTTATCAAGTTCTTGTGGAGAAAATGTTTGCCATTCCATATCAGCTTCCCTGAGACCGTTTGTGGAGAAAAAGGATCTAGACGCTTCCATTTTCATCTCTGTCGTTTCCTCTTCCCGGTTTTGGTAAGCAGGTTCTTCTTCAAACTCGGCCAGCAGACATTTCAAGTATGAGCAGTCGAATCGGTCCAGAAGAGAGGACTTAAAACGAGCTCCATCTGCGTGTAGGGGCAGGCTGGACAGCCTTTGATGGAACTCAGGCGCATCCAACAATGGAATTCTAGGCAGGATCTGGCTCGTTCCCGATTCTTGAGAAGCGAATGGTGAGGATCGTCCCGGATCTATTGGCGGTAATAGCAAAGAGTTGGCACTGAGTGGCGTATTCAGCGCCTCGCTAGACGATAACTGTGGAAGGTTCTCGACATTCTTGAGCCTGTAGTGATTTTTCAGCTTTACCACGCACATGGCAGCGCTGAAGGTCTTACTCGATAGAAGAAGCACTCAAGGTGTGGGTTCGGTATCCTGGGCTAGGTGAAATCCAGCTAGTAGCTTGGATTGAGCATGACCGCGCCATATCCAGCTCTTATGACACAAGACGAATTAGGTACTGAGAATATGAAAATAATCTTCTGGCAACAACCACAGCTGGGAGGTATGCCAATGAAGATATACAGGCAGGGAGAGAAGGAAGCAAGGAACCGTAATATGAAACAAAAGTAAATAATAATAATAATATAGAAATTTCAGCCATTTGACCAGGTTCCATTTTCCACTAAAAGAGACGTTGCATTTAACGAGCTCAATTTAGCCCAAACCAGCTAACAGCACAGACATTGCCAAAAACATACCTCACTCAGAGACAAAACGCCACCTCGACCTCTGAGATGGGGTAGAATAATAGGAAGAGGCAAGATCGACATATTAAACGCCATGGGGATGTTGGTTACCGCTCGCACGAGAACTTGCGGTAGGCCTTTCCGCAATCATGGACGGCCGACGTGCAATGTTGTTGGCTTTCGCTGGTGTGGTAGACTGCACAGAAATGGTTGGACGATACCTCCTGCCGAATATAAACCCCTTGCATACTGTGTACTACGTATAGTTCTGTGGGGATGACATGAGGTCAGGCTCAGATGTCCAAGCGTTGGTAGCCACCGCAGGCCGGTACAATCCTATGAACCACGTCGAGTACAAACCCTGCTCTGGTTTATGAACATATCTGTGATTATGCCCATGCATCGAAAGAAAGACCACAACGTCAACGAATGGGACCTTACAGCTTCTGGGTGGGACCTGAATCACGCTATATAGACGATGCAAATCCGGTATAAGCGCCGCTCAACCATGGTTTAGGAAATAAGGAAAGGTTTTGGTAGACAAGTCAGGATATTCCCAGTAGCATTCCCTTGTTCTTCAAGAGCAACCTGCAAAGCTGACTGGAGAATCAGGGTGGGTATTCTGGATGACTAGCCCGGCGAAAAGGATTAAGGAGAGGTCTGTTTTGAAAATGAATCCTTGCTTAGTGTAAGGCTAAGATCGGCTTAGCCTTCCGAAGAACAGAGGAGGTGCTCAACTTGGTCTATCTGATATCATACAGGGCAATCTTCACAAGACTTACCGTCTACTACTCGAGTAGGGAAAGCTTTCATGTAGGTTGGTTGAACTACTACTAGTTACCGGAACTCGTCGGTCAAGGTAGCCTCGCTTACTTGTTACGTTAAGGCAAATTTAAACGTGACCTATTCATTCAACATCACCGGCTGTGAAGACTACGCAACCATGGTATGTCTGTCTAGGACCAATGAGCAATTTATTGTGCTAAAAGAAAATATGATGCATGTACGCATGATGCACGCTCCACCGGTAATCCTTCCAACATACGAAAAAAAGCCCCAGCCACAACCATGGGAGCTCTTGAACAGCAACAATAAGTAGAGGATACCAGGCACATAATGACATGTCAGTCTGGATGTTTGTTCACGCAAACTGTTGTGTGGTTTTGCTGTGTACCGAGCGAGAGACTTGAAGCCATCGGTCAATTAAGTAAGCTTAAGTGGTGCAAAAGACAACGCCAAGTTCCCTACCCATCACAGCATGAACAAGAAAGCAATAAGCCCGAAAACGCTGTACGTAGGCATGTCAGGATTGAAAGTGGTTGGAGCGGCGCTTCTGGAATTGTTTCCGGAGCTATCGGCATTGGTGCCAAGACCACCTGGAGTCTCTTGAGATCCGGCGCATGTGTAGACGCCCTTGACGATATCCCTGTCACGAAGGTCGTCGAATCCGTCACAGGTGAAAGTGCTACTAGTCGTTTGCATATTGAAACCACCGCGAGCATCACTTAGAGCTGGTAGATTAACTCTATTTCTTGTTAGTGACGATCACAACCTGAACGGCGGGTGAGGGCCTCACTCGTCAAAAACGCCACTAAAGTCTAGAGCTCCAACAACTGTTTCGAGCGCTGGGAACCCATCAATTACCAACAGATCAGGGTTGTTGTTGATATTCAAGGCAGCACCAATCTGGATGATCTGTGGTACGGAGATGTTGGAGAGTCCCATATTGTCCTGGAACACAAGAGCTTGGCCAGTCTCAGTCAGGTTTGGCAATGAAATGCTTTCGAAAGTGTTTGAGTAGAAGCCGATTGAGCCATTGACATACGAAAGGGAAGGGACCTGTACATCGCTGACGTTACGAAAGGTCATGTTGGCCGCTTGTTGCAGGTTGGGGAGCTTGATCTCGAGGGTCCGAGAATTGGCGGCAAATGAAATTGACGTGTTGACAATCCTCATGTTGTTCACATCCACCGTATCCAAGTATCGGTTGTTGTTGATGTCCATCAACCCGACGGTTTCCAGCTCAAGACCATTAAGGGACGTCAGGCCAGTGTTGCTGACAAGGATATTGGTCACCGTCGAAACACCGCGGTTGAATGTGAGGGACTGCAGGGCTGGTAGAGCGATCCACTGGATTGTAAGAACTTCGGTAAGCGAGTCGAATGCTAAGGTTGACAGAATCTGAAGCTCTTCGAGCTCGAACTTGCCGCCAATAGTTGCGAGATTGTTAGCCGAGAGTGAGGTGAGTTGCGTAGCGTTGACGCATGTGAGATCGCCGGTAATTTCTTCAACGCCGTCGATGGCGAGCGTGCCAGAGACCGAAGAGCCAATAAGCACATCGCCCTCGATGATAGAGCATTCAGCAATTGCTTCAGCATCTCCTTGATGTTGAATATTGATAGGGCCCTCACATTGAGCTGCAGATCGAGGTCAGTCGCTGCATCTCCGCTGAAAGTTGATACAATCTTCTGCAGTGCTGCAAATAGAGGATGTGTGAATTTTGAGATTGATCACATACCGAGAGCAGCACCTGCGGCTGCAAGAACCGGGAGCATGTATCTTGTGAGAACCATCGTGATGATTTAGGCTTTCGTGGTCTGTGATGAAGCTGCAGCGCGTCAGAGGTTGCTTTCACGATTTAATGTAGCATGGATGATGGATGGTGGGCGGAAGGAGAGTGTATTGGTTGAATCTTGCATGAATGAGTGGGTGACAGATTGTATCATCACCGTGAACACCACAGATCAGTTGAGCTTACCAGGAATGCAAAAAATTATGGTATAGGTGCTTTTGGAAGTCGAATACTGGCAATCGAAGTTCTGGGATAAATTTTCGAGTACCAGGACGACGGCTGTAAATTAAGCTGATGATCCAACGAGTGAATCAAAGGGAGAATTACAAGGGAGCTTCAGCGAAGGACAAGCTATGAACGACCTTGAAAATAAATCAGTTGGCAGGCACGATCCTGTGACTTGGATGCGTGGCTGGAGAATGAAGGATGAAAATGAAGGAGGACGAAGAAATAGATGAACGAGCGACTGGAACGCAGGCGTGATGGGTGAAGAGAGGATATTGGCCGGTTGAATTGGCGGTTTAGCTGGGTCTGATTGCAGGAAAAAGTTTTGGGGGAGGGTTGGCATTGGAAAACTGGAGCCAAGGCACGCAGGGAAGCCAATGTCCAAGCTAATAACGCGCGGCTGGTTTCAATAATGGTCAATGACTTGTTTACAGTCAGTAAAATGTTGTGGTAATGATGGTTACACCATACAACCCATGCTCGGGTTGAGGACCCACCCGCGATAGTCTGTAAATTAATCATTCTGATTCGGATAGATTAGTGGTCCAGGCACGAGCAAACTTCTAAGAAAGGAGAAGCTTCTCCATCTATGCGATCATGCGAACAGGAGACTGGTAGCCGTAGTCCTCTGCTGTCTCACAAGCAAACTAATTCCCATCAAGATTCGCTTCTGTGGTCAAAATTACTGGTCCTTACAATACACATGCATATCTTGACAGCGACCTTTGGCTCCTGCCCAGCACGCTAGAAACTATTCATCCATCCTCCCGAAAGCAATTGCCAATCTTCGGCGTTCCTCTCGCTAAGGTATCTGGCGGCTGGTGCAAGTAACGTAGTACGTAGTACATGAGATCCACACCGAAACGATGAAGGATCTGCAGGTCCAGCAACCAGGGGCTCAATACACTTATCAGCAGCTTTGTCTTAACAGACTCCACAATCAATTCTCTCGGTGTTCCTCAGGTCATGCCAATTTCTCTGTTAGACTAGTCCGCATTTGAGAATACAATTGCAGTCATCCCAGTCTCTGGCTCTGTACCGTGTTTCCTAAAAGTTTGAGAAGTAAAAAAGTGCGTTGCTTTGTCCATCTCATTCTCAAACATTGCGCTGGCAAGTACGGAGTACTGGCAATTGTCTCAACCCGCACCTGTAGCCAATTTAACCCATGTTGACGTAGGTGGATCCAGCAAGGGTAATCCTGCCGCTGGCGGCCGAGAAACTCCGTGCCACAACGCACTAATGTGACAATACACGTACCAGAATCAGGTGCAACAAAATCCAGCGTTGGGTGGATTGAACTCCTGATATCGAGGTTCTAGCTTGCAGCGATTGTGCGTTACCTTTACGTAGTAAGAAAGCGACTTAACATATTCAAGCTATCACCAGATGGAGTCGTCGCCTCCCACACGGGACTTTGACAAGGGACTGTCGATTTCTGGTCGTTAGGTATGTTAACGCGCATCAGCACCTTCTGGTAGAGAGACATTTTTGCCGTAGTTGGGCATATTCTCATCTTCCTACCAAGTCGAATGTCTCCATGGACCGACAAAGCTCTAATTGTAATATGATCCGGTTTCACACAAGCAAGATAGGTGTCAATTTTCATTTCCAGTTGTTTTGAAGCGCCTTTCAACAAACTCGTCGTCATTTTTCAAGTATCCAACTCCTTTGAAGGATCTGTGGCTGGAGAACGCCACATGCATAAAGACGCAACTCGTGTCATCCGCCTTGGCATTACGAATCCGCAGCTCGACTTGAATCTGTACGATCTGTATGAACAATAGATAACCACCCAGCAGCAAGAAACTCGGATTCAATATAGCCCATCATCTTACTAGCCCTTTGCACTATCCAGAAACTGATCTCAGATACTACAACTAGCTGGCAGGTTGGTTTCCTCGCGGATCAGTTGTGTGCGACTTTGGCGTGGGTGTCCGAGGTCATGTCACTCAGACGCTCGGCACGCACAGCCAGTATTCCATTGAAAAGCGGCATGACCACTAGAGCTTCCATTTCAGATCCCAAACGGCCATTGACTCCTGATGATGAACCACTGACAGTGTCCAAGAGATCCAAGCGCCACTCATCTCGAAAACCGAGCACCACTACAGCAGAGCCCACTAGCTTCAAGGTACCTCTACCTCCCTCGAGGCCTAAGCGCAAGCACACTCCTCCTACAGAAACAGATGAACCTCCTCCACTAACACCTACTCCGTCTCTTGTCGGTCTGATCAGCGCCCCAACCTACAGCTCTGGTGACATTGACAATGCAACGCCCCCACCACCTTCCCGGCCAGCAGACCCACATATTAGCAATGCAACACTTGTCACACCAGGCGGGACACAAGCAACAGCATATTCCTCATATGTTCCAGAATCCTCTCCTTCGAAACTCGGGCTAAAAGGTCCTTCTCACCCCACCTCCACAGCCTCCAACCTTCTCTCCCAGGCTTGCGCCCACCTAATATCTGTCGAGCCCAAACTCGCCCCCCTGATTCGCAAACATACCTGCCACATATTCTCTCCTTCCGGGCTAGCCGAAAAAATCGATCCTTTTCGGTCACTCGCTTCGGGAATAATGGCGCAGCAGGTATCTGGCGCAGCCGCAAAGTCCATCAAGAACAAATTCATAGGTCTGTTCAACGGTGATGATCCTCCGCAATCAAACTTTCCAACTCCAGTGCAGGTTGTTGCAACAGACATTTCAAGGCTCCGATTAGCCGGCTTGAGCCAGAGAAAGGCAGAGTACATACATGGCTTAGCGGAGAAGTTCGCCACCGGTGAACTATCTACCAGCATGCTCCTTCAAGCCAGTGATGAGGAAGTAATGGAGAAATTGATCGCAGTCCGGGGTTTGGGCAAATGGTCCGTCGAAATGTTCGCCTGCTTTGGCTTGAAACGCATGGACGTCTTCTCGACTGGTGATCTTGGGGTACAACGAGGGATGGCGGCGTTCATGGGGAAAGATGTAAGTAAGCTGAAGGCCAAGGGCGGGGGAAAGTGGAAGTATATGTCTGAGAAGGATATGCTGGAGGGAAGTGAGAAATATCGACCATATCGAAGCTTATTCATGTGGTATATGTGGAGGGCAGAGGACGTGGACGTGAGTGCTGTGGAGGGAAACGGGGAGGGCGCTGCATCTGTGTAGAGGCATCAAGAAGCTTGAAGAGTGTACTACCAAGACTTTAGACGAAGGATTGAACATGCATTAGAAAGCTAGAAGAGGCGGCCGCTCGGCTTATACAGGAGTGATCAGGATAAAACTAAAGTCGGCTGCGAAATGTTCACTTCTCTAGCTACATAAGGAGGCCGACCTTTTCCAGCAGATATTACGTGAGGGTCGAGACTTCTGGACAACCATAATGAAGAGCAAGGTTCATTATGGATAAACAATTGGGGCGGCTTCCTTCACTCTAATTCACGTTCCTTTCTATGAGTCAGCAGAAAAATAGCAGCATAGACCTTAGTAAGTTATTCAACCTTTAGGGCGACGCCTGTCTCTCAACTGAGGAGCCACATATTGAACTCCAGCTTTTCCTATCCAAATGCATAATAATATACAAGCGTCCTCGCGTATTAGACCATCTAAACCCCCCTCCACACTTCCTGAACTACTTCTCCAGTACAAAGATCTTCAAATTCATGTTAGCGATTTCCTGTAGTCAGCTTAGCAATCACAATCAATGACAGCACTAGGTAGGAAACATGGGTCTTCGAATTTCATTGTTTCAAGCTAGGCGGCCAGTGCCCTTTATGGCATGGCAAGATGTGCAAGTGCAATTGATTGAAAACAAGGCAGCGGAAACAAGCAACTCCCCTATCCAGTTATCTGCCTACCCTAAATGGTAGGTGGCCTTCCTAGGGCCCTCTTCTCCTTGTCTCGGTCCTCCAGCTTCGTGGTGCCGTCCTTAAACGGCTTTGCATTGATCCAGTTCTTGATCTCCTCGAACAGGGACATCTGAATCATATTCTGAATACAGGAACGCATAATGATCATCTCGATGCCCTTGAACTTGGAAGAACGCGCTGCAGATTCTTGTGCGACTTTGGAGACGTTGCCGACAAGGGAGTTCTGGACGCGAGTCTTCATCGTGTCGAGCGGGTAGGTCTACATGCGCGTGTAAGTGGATCTTGAATGATGGCAAACACGATTGTCTACTTACCAAGCTCCAAGAACAGATACCGCAGAGCATGCCGGCCGTGGCAACAGCAAGAGGTGTGTTGGCCTTTTCGGTCTTTTGAAAGCTTGTCATTGCCTGCTTCGTAGCCTCATAGACACCGAAATAGATTGCACTTCCCACCACATCACGCGCCAGGTGGAGCTTGAAGCCGGTGTAGAGGCCGAAGAATCCGTGACGTTGGAAGATTTCGCGCGTTGCAGCAATAGAGGAGACTCGTCCGACGTTCTTCTTTGGAGCGACGTTGCTGATAGATGGACCTCGAGCTTCGCCACTGAGGCCAGCCATAAGGACTGAAGTCTGAGTAGCATTCTTGGCAACTTCGACAGGACCTTTCAAGCTATCAGGACTAACATCATTCCTCTTGGATTGAAGACTTACAGGTGAAGAGAGTAGTCGCAACACCAGAGATTGCACCGGCTGTGCCAAAGCAGAATGTTGTGGAAAAGTTTGGGTAGGTGCCAGGGGTGTTGACCAGTGCAAGGGGTGAGTCTCCTGTGGCTCTGCTCATTATTCCGTCGATGGCATATTTTGTTTGCTGGTAGACAGAGAAACCGATGACACGCGATATAGTGATAAGGATCAGTGGTGCAGTAGTTCCTGTAGCTTTTGTCAACTTGTGCAGCATTGGGGATCAGCTCTTCAGGACATACCCGCCCAGAAACCACGGATGCCTTCAGTCTTGTGGGTGTACTTGATGCATTCCCAACCATTCTTGAAGTGTTTACTATAAGAATAAGCGTTGGCTACATCTTGTAGAGCACAAATCTCCTTACGACTGCATGCGTGTCTTGATATTCTCAAATGGGGACTGTAGACACCGTAAGTAACAGAAGAGCAGCTGCGTGCCAGGTGGAGGTCCAGTGCTGCACACGGAATGGTGAGAGACAAGAGCTTACACCAGCAAGAACTGCCAGGACTGTTGCTGGGCACGATGCAAACTGGGTTCGGTATTTCTTGATCAGCCGTGTCCTCGTATCGTAATCTAACCATGCCATGTTGCCAGTGATGCCAGGTGCTATCGGCGGTTGTGAATGTTTGGAAGGAAGTTTTGAAGTGGTGTCATGTTCAAGTGAGAGTGAGTCGTGTTCTTTATTTGCGTGGGTCATGACCAACACATGTTTGGCCAAAGGTCGACAACAACAACTAGGACGACGGTGGGCTGCGGAACCCAATGGAACGCAAAGCGGTCTCTCAACCTTTGAGCAGACCTCTCGGCGTCCCACACTCTTCCATCTATCCCATGAAGGTCCTCCCCGGTTCAGTCTCTATCCGCTCACGGCTTCTATGCGAAGAAGTTCCCAATTCGAGCTTCTCTTGGATTCTTCCCTCCCTATGTCGACTTTGCTAGCACTCGAACGCTCGCCTGGTAAAGAAACACTTGACGACTCTTCGTTAATATAGCTTTCCAGACAACAAAGACTCCAGAGGGGTGGATGATATTGTGCCACTCAAGCTAGGTGATCGGTAGTATTGCCAAACGCGGGGCACGACACCCTTGGAGCTGTGGTGCAAGAGCACTGTTAGCTTCATTGTCTGCAAACAGGTCTTGAAGGACACGCGATGGGAAGAGAAGCTCACAGAAGCCCACAAAAGCTATATGATGGCTTCAAACCATTAGGGATGTGCAGATTAGAAGAAGAGAGGGCATAGAAGATAAGTAGGAGGGAGCTATATCAAGGCGTCGACATGTGCAGTGAGGATGAATTGGGTTTAGTCGATTTACTGTTTCCTGTCTGAACTGACGTCCGACATTGGCTAGAGCATCTTAAGCCCGGGGGGGCGAATGGTCTGCTCCCCTGGTAGATCTCAGGGTCTGTGCTTGACAACTCAAGCCACAAATCCTTTGGTTACGAAGGAGAAGAGGAGAAGAAGCACGCCTCACCCACACTTATCCCTCCGAGAGCGGCAACCAGTGGTAGCTCATAGACCTAATTGGTTGCATAGGGCGGAAGGGTTCGCTGGCCACTCTGCTTGATATCCACATCTGTGCATTGGGTTAGTGAGAAGCATGCTTGGGACCCTGATGATGTGTGACGCCGAAAGAAGCAAGCCTGTCGCTTCTCGCTTTTCGAGAATTGATGGACCAGAAACATCAGCCACAGCTCGAGAGCTACGAGCCTACAATTCCCTGCGTTTTGGGGCCGAAGGGCTGTACTCGAGCCTCGGTCCCCCCGCATTATTTTGGCGCCTGGGCCTGCAGGCTCGTGTTTGGTTGAGAAGAGGTGGTACTCCTAGTTATCGAAGATCCTCGTTGCCCTGGCGGGACGGAGTATCGGCAAGAAGTTCCGCTCTGTTACACGGTCCCACTTGCAACATCAACGCTGTCATAGATAGACTTATTGTGATACTCGCAAGCCTAATGTTTCCATCTCACTCCTCCAAAACCCGCTCGCCTCTCTTTCAAGATGGGTCGCACTGCTGCACCGGCATATGTCTTGGGAGTGGGCATGACCAAGTTCATCAAACCTCGTGGCAAAGTGGACTATCCGGAGCTTGGATTCGAAGCTGGCATCAAGGCCATGTTAGATGCTCAGATCTCGTACGACGATGTGGACCAGGGCGTGGCATGTTACTGCTATGGAGACAGCACCTGCGGCCAACGAGTCTTTTACCAGTTCGGAATGACACAGATACCCATATATAATGTGAACAATAATTGCTCGACGGGTAGTACTGGTCTGAGTATGGCAAGAACTATGGTCAGCTACAGCGCCGCTGATTGCGTGTTGGTGGTTGGCTTCGAGAAGATGAATCCCGGGAGTCTCCAAGCGTACTTCAATGACAGGGCGAATCCAACGGGCACAACCGGAAAGATGATGCAAGAGACGAGAGGCGTGACCAACGCGCCAAGTGCAGCTCAGCTTTTCGGCAATGCAGGTCGGGAGTACATGGAGAAGTGAGTGTTCCAGAAGGCGGCATGAGCAAGCTTCAACTGACCAGTTGCACAGATACGGAGCGAGACCAGAGGACTTTGCTGAGATAGCTCGAATCAACCATGAACACTCGAAAAGGAATCCATACTCCCAATTCCAGGACGAATACAGCCTAGAACAGGTCTTGAAATCTCCCATGATCCACGAGCCATTGACAAAGCTGCAATGCTGCCCTACCTCGGACGGCGGTGCTGCAGCAGTGATAGTTTCACAAAAATTCCTTGATGCTCGACCACACCTGATAGAGCAGGCAGTGTTGATTGCAGGTCAGCGCTTGGCAACTGATGGTCCATCGCTGTTTGACCGCAGCTCTATCGACCTTGTCGGGTACGGCATGTCCCAATGTGCTGCTGAGGCCGCTCTCGTAGAGGCCGGAGTGCAGCCAAAGGATATCAAAGTGGTTGAGCTGCATGATTGCTTCTCTGCAAATGAAATGACCACAATCGATGCGCTTGGGCTGTGTGAACACGGCAAAGCCCACGAAATGGTTAGAGCGGGTGATATTACCTTTGGTGGAAAGGTGGTAATAAACCCGTCCGGTGGGCTGATCTCGAAAGGCCACCCTCTTGGTGCGACGGGTCTTGCACAGTGCGCCGAATTGGTCTGGCACCTTCGTGGGTGGGCAAACAATCGTTTAGTCGAAGGCGCCGATGTTTGTCTGCAACACAACCTTGGGCTTGGTGGTGCAGTAGTGGTGACCGTGTATAAGCGAGCGGATGGGAAGAGCGCCAAAGCAATACCAAGTGATATTGTTGGACAGCGGAACAAACTAGGGTATAATCCAGCAGTCGAGGCAAGAGGCTTCACGTCAGAACAGGTTGACCGAACGAGAAGTTCGAAATCGAGAAGTGAGTGGGCACTACAAGACACGCAGCTGAAAGTGCAGGCAAGGTTCTGATTGCGATATCTGTAAATGATCTTGGACTGCTTTCTATTCATACCAGGAAAGGGTATCGTGCTGGGTCGTGTTGGCCTTCCACAGCGTAGGATATTTCTAGGGGTATAAAGACATGACGTCCGAAAGACAAATAACAACAAATTGGTGTGTATCAGTGGGAATAGACATCTGTGAGCTGGACACCTTGTAGCGCTGATATGACTGTATCTACCATCTTCGTCATGTAGGAAATCAAGTACAGCAACCATAGAGATTGTCCAGGGGACGGAGTCATATAGAAAGTGTAATCATGCATTCGGAGAACTCATCGCCATTCTCATCTTCCATACACGGTGGCTCTTGCCCCTCTCTTCTTGATGGAGAACCTTGACGTCTTGGTCTGGTCCCGAAACCTGCTCGTGCGGCCATGGAGGGACTACGCTGGGTATATGCACAACATCCATAACGCCCCCAGCTCAAACATCAATCAACAACGCCCCCGCTTCCATCCAAGCTTTATGCACTAGAACCCTTTCCATCCACTAGAAGCCCGTGCCTGACTGTTCCCCCACTGACTGCTTCCTCCCCTGTCATCCAAGTTGGCAGTTTCTCCACTGCAATGTCGCCCAATTCCACTAGCTTCCGTATGCCGAGGAAGACGTCACTGCCCTGGAAGGTTAACGTCAGCCGCGCGGATGGCTGCCTAGGCGCATGCCCAAAAGTCTGATCTGGAGGTGAAGTCCGATCGAAAGGGTCAATGTCATCCTGGCTAATGTTTGCCAGGCTCGAAGAAGGCGGATGGCACCCTGATGGAAATATGTCTTCATTAAGCCTAATCTGCAGCCTGTCCAGGCAGAGCGTCGCGGCTGCGGTATCTGACTTGTCACTATCTGGCTCGGGTTCTGGAGTATCAGCGATGCCGAAGCGCGTAGTTGCTGCAATCTTGGGATTGGTCTTTGCTTCTTCAGACTTTGGAACCCGAGCCCTCGAAGCGTTGACACTTCTCTCCGCAAGGGCCGTCCGCTTTTTGCTTTGGTCTGAATGTTGCAGAGAGGGCTCTGAAAAATGAGCGTCACAATCCTTGTCCTCTCTGCCTTCGCAGGCCTCAAGAATCTTCTGAGCAAAGGATGTGTTCTGTGCATCAATTGGACTATCGTCAACCACACCCTTGGCGAAGATGCTATATACCCCATTAGCAGCATTGGTGCCACTGTTGCCTCGGAGGGCAAGCATGGTTGACAACGATCGGGCTGTCAAGGAAGTAGACTCTAAGGAGTACCTATTATGAGACCTGCTCAGCGCTTTCGGAATTTCCTCAAGAATGGCCCTTTTCAGCGAGGTGATATCCATTCGATCTGATAGGGTCTTTTTCCTGCCTGCATTAGACTCCTTCACGCCGCCAGAAACCGAGATATAGATGTATGGACAACTGTCAGGCAATGCGATGAAGATAATACGGTTAGGATTCGTAAACAGTACTGGCGCATGGACGGAGGACTGAGCTTGTGCGTAAGGTGAGTCAACAACGCAAATGCGGATGACGGAAAGATTCTGAAGCGTATGAATTTGATGTAGATAGTAATGTGCTTTGACCATGGGCGAGATTTCATGTTGTAGGTTTTGAAGAAAGGTGCTCGGCGAAACAGTTGGGTATGGTGCCGAATCGATCCTTCGTTTCTTCTTCATAGGCTGCTCTTCATGTGCCTCCTCGTCGCTTTGTGGTATCAGTTTTAAAGCTGTCCATCTGAATGCCTTGTCATTCTCATTTAGGCACTGCAAGTCGATTGTTGCGACCTGGAACAGCGATAATCCTCGACGCCAGTCGCCATCCAGCATCCTATCTATGATATGGCGCTTGTTGATGGTGGTTTCCAGTCTCATACGATTGTATGTAAGGCGCAGCTCTTCAATCGTCTCTGCTGGTGACCATAAGTAGTCCTCGTCTACCTCTTCTTCGAGGTTTCTGTTACTAGTCAGGTAAGGCGCGCATGTCGCCTGATTCTCTTCTTGCAGCCACTGGAGAGCCAAAACGATGAGTGATGGTTTTGAAAGCCGGAGAAGTGATCTAACCAATGCTTTGGTCGTAGAGGGGACGCGCAAAGCACTGGGAACCGATGCATTGGTCGGTGCGCGTACGGAGTTGCGTGGAACCATTGCAGCGGAGAGCGTAGCGCTTTAACTACGATCTGTCTGCAAGCCGTATATCGTCATGCTCTCATCAGTGTAACCGGTAGATGTGTCTGTGATAATCGTGCATTATAGTGGGCAGCTTTGCACAGACGCGATCTCAGTGCAAAAACAAAAACATGTTGCCATTCTAGATGATGCCAAGAATTACTTTTAGACGTAGCAATTTGGAGTTTCTTGGCAGTGGCCTAACCGCTCTCGCTCAACTTGAAGTAACTACTAAGTTACTAGTACAGCTTAGCCGCTGTCGGTTAAAACATGCTTTTCGTTGCACTCACACCTGTGTCATCACTTTTCGTTCACTTTTCACTTTTCATTCATGGGTGTCAGATAGAGATTTGCTCTAGCTGCCGTTCACTATCCAGAGTAGCGCAGCAGAACGTCTGGAATTTTGCTTCAGGCCACGCTGAGTCAGCTCTTTCATTGTTTCTCGTGTTCAAGAACTGTCTTGGCAACAACCCCTGCCACTAGTACTAGCAGCAGTCAAGTGCATTCAGTACTACGGTACAGAGTAGGAGGCGATTGAATGTAGCCCCCTCCCTTGTACCGTAGTAGAATTGTTATTAACGACTCTCATTCAGATACCCCTGCCGCACTTGTACGAATGACGTACCCCCTCCCTGGGGGGGGATTCAACTCGCTCGACGTGTTGAGCTTCTTCTACTGATTCTATCTCATTCTACAACTGCTCCAATCAATGCCAGCAAGATACCAGGCAGTTATTACGGGGAGCCATAAGTCTCCCTAGCACGGCGCTAGAAACGTCTTGTAATGTTACAACGCCACGTATCAGCACCTTGCCATAGCGAGGATAAGCTGCCCAGAAATCGAGCCCAAATAGGATTAATATGTTTGTTTGATTGCCCCAATCCACAGAATGGCCGTACTAGATCGACAGATCTGTATCCATAGCATTGAACGTGGTAAACACTAGCGCTGCGCTAGGGATACTTGTGCCTTCCCCCGTAGTTAATACATGCTAGATGCCAATGGAATGCATCTCGATATTAGATAGACAGCAGGCTAACTAGTTCTAATCGAGCGGTTGTGTGGCGTTCTATCTTAGCGTTACAAGCTGTTTCTAGGGCGGGGGTTACATTCAATATGCCTCCTACCGTAGTAGTCGGTTCTGCAGTGGATTGGAAATCAATTCAGCCTGCTCTCCTACCCCATCTACCAACTCTTCCACCTTTTCTGCATTCTCAGATATACTCCAATCCCAGAGCAATTGAATCCTTCTCAAGCTGCAAATCGAAAGCAGAATATCGTACATCTGGCGGGGTTCAGCGTGGACGTGGGCGGCCCGGAATCGATTTTAATGCCGTTCCCAGAAATGCCGACTGTGTGATTTGCCCCTGTTTGCCCCGCCATACTCCTATTCTCTCGTCACCAATTCCCTGAATCACACCATCCACCAACTCCCACGAAGATTGAGCACTCAAAGACGACAGTTTAGTGGGGCTGCCCAGCAATGTCTGGCTACCATGGCCGTACAGGCCCAAACTTTTCTCAATACGTCAACAACCTTAACACAATTCCGCAGCCTTATAATCCGGATTTTCTGCCTACCGATGACCTCAATTTGGACCAAGAACTATCATTGTTCACTAATACCGATTTTACTGATTTCACCGATTTTGAAGCGGTGCCAAACCATGGATTGGACTTTGGTCTAGGAGATAGCAAATCATCTGGAAATGACTTCAAATACGAGGACCTTCTTGCCAGCGCAACATCACCATCAACCAACGTGCAACCCTCAAATACTTCCCACTATGCGAACTTTCCTCCTCCGATACAGCCAGCACCCCCTGTCTCCGCTTTTCCTACAAGCGCAAGCATTTTGTCGCCTGTTGCTTCCTCACCAATTTCGCCGGAGTCTTCTCCCCAAAAGGTAGGAGTCAAGCGGAAGGCCGATGCTATCGCAAGCGCCTCACCGCAACAGCTACCATCAGATGAACAGTCTCGTCTCGCTGCAGAAGAAGATAAGCGGCGGCGAAATACCGCTGCGAGCGCCCGTTTTCGAGTGAAGAAGAAGCAGAGGGAGCAGGCTCTCGAGCGAACTGTGAAAGAGGTAACGGACAAGAATACAGCCCTGGAGGCCAAGATCAGCCAATTAGAGATGGAGAACCAATGGCTCAAGAACCTCATTACGGAGAAGAATGGCAAGCAAACCAAAGAGCAGATTGCAGAGGCATTCCGGAAATTTAGGAAAGAGAGTGAGGAACGCGAGACAAGTCAAGGGACCGAACACAAGGAGGGCGTTGGGACTGGTTCTTGATGGCAAACTACATCGCAGCCTCTTATGTTAGGATCGACATACACTGTTATTAAGACATATGCTCACTGTGGTAGTATCTAAATCTGCTTGCAAGCTGTAACAAGTGTCTTAGCCTTTTTTGTGATAAGATACCTGCGGTATATGTAAGAACTGTTCCAAAAGTGCAAACCTAGAAATCATTGCGAGTGGATGCCAGACTGGCAACCCCAAGTGTCCAAACCATCAGGTCTTAGCGGCAGTGCCACATAGAAACGCTGACCTAATCAGTCTCATGTTCAACCAACGTGAATTTCTGCCTCCGATATCAGCTGTACCGGCGGCCACTGGACAGTATACATCTACTCATCACTAGCCAGAAGCTCATCACAATATCCCACGACAACCTTGGGCGATCACCTTGTGCTGGAATCCAACGGTGCATTCCAGGAACTCCACAGACCTTGTCTCTTCCGCCGCCCACCACATCCGCCTTGCTACTCGTTCCCTTGCAGAGAGATTCACACCCTCAAGGAGACATCACGGTTGAGATTGGGTTACGCCCACTCCTTCCCCGCTCGTTGAGCGATTCTGCGACAACAACCGGGCAAGATGTCAATCTCCATCTCTGAGCTGGACAATACCGTTCGCGCCTTCTATGAGGGCAAGGGCGAGGTTCAAAAGCAGGCTCAGCAGAAGCTGACAGAGTTCAAGTCAAACCCAGATGCGTGGTTGATGGTGGACAAGATACTACAGGAGGCTACATATCTTCCGACCAAATACGCAGGGCTTCAAGTTCTGGACGACGTGATCATGACAAGATGGAAAGTCCTCCCTCGAGACCAATGTCAAGGGATTCGCAACTTCGTCGTCGATCAGATCATCGGAGCCTCCCAATCTGAAGAATCACTCAAACAGCAGCGTCTGTTCGTCGACAAACTCGATCTCACCCTGGTCAACATTCTTAAGCAGGAGTGGCCTCACAACTGGCCCACTTTCATCAACGAGATCATTTCCTCATGTCACAGCAGCTTGTCGATTTGTGAGAACAACATGTCGATCCTGCGGCTGCTGTCAGAAGAAGTTTTCGACTTTTCGCAGGACCAGATGACATCGACCAAGGCTAAGAATCTTAAAACTACAATGTGCGCCGAGTTCTCTCAGATCTTCCAATTATGCCTCGAAATATTGACTACCGCCGAACATACGAACCTCATCCGCGCAACACTCAACACCCTACTTCGCTTCTTGAACTGGATACCTCTCGGTTTCATATTTGAGACCAAACTAATTGACACACTCGTGGAAAGATTTTTGAATGTGCCGGAGTTCCGAAATATAACGATGAAGTGCTTGACAGAAATTGGTGGTCTACAAATGGGTCAACAATTCCAGTACGACGAAAAGCTGGTGCAACTGTTCACGATCACGCTGAACAGTGTATCCAAGATGATTCCTCTGTCCACTGATCTCAAGGAGGTCTACGGCAAGAGCAACTCTCGAGATCAGGAGTACATCCAAAATCTAGCACTTTTTCTCTGCAACTTCTTCACCGTCCATCTTGGTGTCATTGAGAAAATACCCAACACGGATTACCTTACCCATGGCCACTATTACCTGATCCTCATCAGCCAAATCGACGATCGAGAGATATTCAAAATCTGCTTGGAATATTGGACGAAACTCGTTCAGGAACTGTACGAGGAGATGCAGCAGTTACCAATCACTGATGTCAATCCTCTAGTGAGCATGGGAGTGAGCGGCCTTTCTAATGGCGGTGCCCCTCATCCAAGCACGTTGGCGAATTATCCATTGCGGAAGCACAAATATTCGCAAATACTGACCAATCTGCGAAGCGTTATGGTTGAGAAAATGGTGCGCCCCGAAGAGGTCCTGATCATGGAGAACGACGAAGGAGAGATTGTGCGGACATTCGTCAAAGAGAGTGACACCATACAATTGTATAAAACGACTAGGGAATGTCTAGTCTATTTGACGCATCTGGACGTTGTAGATACGGAGAACATCATGTCCGACAAATTACAGAAGCAGGTGGATGGCTCAGAGTGGTCGTGGAACAATTGCAATACACTCTGCTGGGCTATCGGATCAATCTCTGGCGCCATGAACGAGGAGACTGAAAAGCGCTTTTTGGTCACCGTCATCAAAGATCTTCTAGGTCTAACGGAGATGAAGAGAGGTAAGGACAACAAAGCCGTCGTGGCCAGCAATATCATGTATATCGTCGGTCAGTACCCAAGATTTCTCAAGGCACATTGGAAATTCTTGAAGACCGTAGTCAACAAGCTTTTCGAATTCATGCACGAGACGCATGAAGGTGTCCAGGATATGGCCTGTGATACATTCATCAAGATTGCCAACAAATGCAAACGCCATTTTGTTGCTCTCCAGCCGGGTGAGACGGAGCCGTTCATCGAGGAAATTGTTCGTAACATGCGGAAGATCACATGCGACTTGTCACCGCAACAGGTGCATACTTTTTACGAGGCTTGCGGATATATGATCTCTGCGCAAGGCCAGAAGAGCCTTCAAGACCGGCTAATAGAGAACCTAATGTCATTTCCAAACCAAGCTTGGGATCAGATCATTCAGCAAGCGAACGCCAACCCAGCAATCCTTCAAGACAGCGAGACAATCAAGGTTGTGGGCAATATCATGAAGACAAACGTTTCAGCGTGTTCATCTATTGGAAGCTACTTCTATTCGCAAATTGGCCGCATCTACCATGACATGCTGAATATGTACCGAGCATCGAGTCAATTGATCTCTGATGCTGTTGCCAAAGAAGGTAGAAATCTGCGTATTATAAAGTTGTATCAGGAAGCTAACCATGCATAGGTAACATTGCAACCAAGACTCCAAAGGTCCGAGGTCTCCGAACAATCAAAAAAGAGATTCTCAAGCTTATCGATATGTACGTCGAGAAAGCCGATGATCTGCAAATGGTCAACGAAAGCATGGTGCCTCCACTGCTTGACGCCATCCTGCTTGACTATCAACGCAATGTCCCTGACGCCCGAGACGCCGAGGTTTTGAATGTTGTCACCACCATCATCCACAAACTACGGGTACGTTGGACCCCGACCCAATCGCGCCACTCGGTTAGGGGGTTTGCACATGCTCAGCTTGAATTCCTTGCTGACTGTCTCACAGAACATGATGGACGACAAGGTTGCTGGGATCATGGATAGTGTATTTGAATGCACTTTGGAAATGATCAACAAAGACTTCCACGAATATCCAGAGTTCCGCGTCGAGTTTTTCAAGCTCCTCCAGGCAATCAACCTGTATTGCTTCCCTGCCTTACTAAAGCTCGATGGTCGGCAGTTCAAATTTGTCATCGATTCCTGCATGTGGGCCAGCAAGCACGACAATAGGGAAGTCGAAAGCACTGGCCTTGCCATGTGCTTGGAGCTCATCAACAACATGGCTGAGACAGATTCCCAAACTGCCAGCATATTTTTCCGCCAATTCTACATTCCTATCCTCCAAGATGTACTCTTTGTCTTGACCGATTCCGATCACAAATCTGGCTTCAAGACGCAAGGTATGCTGCTTGCGAGAATGTTCCAACTTGTTGAGTCTGGCAAGATCACCGAACCTCTCTACACCACTGAGCAGGCCGCTCCTGGAACATCGAACAAGCAATTCGTTCAGCAGTACACTGCCAACCTTCTGCAGCAAGCTTTCCAAAATCTCAAAGAAGTGCAGATACAGCATTTCGTCAACGGCTTGTTCACACTTAACGAAGACTCTAACAAATTCAAGACACATCTCCGGGATTTCCTGATTTCACTTAAGGAATACACCGGCGACAATCCTGAGGACAGTGCTCACTTGTTCGCCGACGATCGGGAGCAGGAGAGGAAGATGGCGCAAGACGCAGAGCGAGAACGAGCAATGAAAGTTGGTGGACTGATCAAACCAGCGGACCTAGATCAGGATGATGAACTATGACTAGACGAAGATTTGAGATCAGAACTCGCCACGCCACAAGGAAATGAGGAATCAGGCTCACAGCAGGGTCGCCAGGTGAATGCTTCTGCGGATGCATGGGAGCATGGCTGGGTCGTGTATGGCTTGTGAGGCAGCCATGTTCCAACTCGTTCAAGAGCCTGCGGCTGAAAGACGATCGAAGTGATTATTTTGCCGGCATAAAATTCGCCCGCGTTCCAAGGTAACGGGTAGCGTACCAACAAATCTTGTCCTCCATAGATCTGTTTGCTTCGGTTTTATTCGAGCGTTCGCTGGTGGAATTAGGTACACGGAGCTTGATGAAGAGCCTTCAAGCGCACGATAGGGGCTGGATGCCTACAAGCACACATTGTCCGCTGACAGATTCGTAAAGTTGACAAACTCATTCAACAGTTTTCTTCATCCTCCAGACTTATCGATGAACATGACTATGTACTGATCGAATAGAGTGAGCACTGAAAGACGACAGGAGAAGATTTTGAGTAGATGTCACGGAGCATTTCCGGATTCCGGATTCTCGTTTGCCGGAGCGTTTCGTACATAGTACTCCGTACATAAATTTATTTTCACATAGCATCGCCATCGGCAACATCCCGACCCCTTGCGACCCGGCCCTACGTAGTAACTACTCAACATCCAAATCAAAAACTTCCACTGCACTACATAACTAAGGCCACTTTGTATACGCACAATGGCCTCTCTGCAACCATCTTCCCGTGCACGAACCCAACACCTTCAGGCCCTAAACCCGTCTTCCACCCGCTCCAACACCGCCTCTCCCACCCGCGGTTCCGTCACCCAAACCCAGACCATGACTCACACCCCGACAGATGCTCCAGCCGACCCATCTCGAACGATCGAGGCCGCTACTCTGCGATTACGCGGAGCGCATGATCCGGCCGAGAGCAGAAGACAGCGGAGAAGGGGCCCTGCCATACGATGGGCGGAGGATGTGGTGGATAATGAAGGGATGGGGAGGAAAAGTAGCAAGGGTTCGTCTCCTCGTAACCTTAACGCTTCTTGATGTCTGTTCGGTGTACGGATGTTAGTGTGGGGCCGCAAGCAGTTGTGCCAATTTTACTGATTTCTGGTTTCCTGATTAGTGTGCTGTATCTACCACCGACCCAGGGCTGTGGGGGAGAGTAGTTCGGAAGAGGATTCTTCTTCGAGCAGCTCGGACGACGAGTCGTCGGATGGGGGTGCTGGTGATGATGGGTCAGCCAGGCCTGTGGGTGGTGATGGCGGGAGAGGGAGCCGCACCGGCAAGAAGAGGAGGCGGCATCAGCATCATCATCACCACGGGCACGACCACGATCATGAGAAGGACAACGAAGGGGAAGGAGCAGCGAAGGAAAGGGGGCGAAGACCGAGCCCGAATGCTTATGAGAGAATGCCGAAGACGGGTATGGGGCCGAAAGGGAAATAGAGGAGGTGATATGGCAAGCGATCAGGACATGGGAATAACCAGCCAGATGGGGATTGTCGGGAAATATGTTGAAGCATTTTGGACGCTAGGTCAGGAGAACGAAAGCTATGGACCCATGACTGAGTTGAGCACTGCATATTGCTGGTGTCCTCGCGGCCTTGGTCTACGAAGAGGGCTCGACGACTTGAACTATGCAACATAGGCCAAGCGTCGCCTGTGAGCAGCCCGACGGCACGAAATCGGAGAAAAGAAGTATGCTGGTTCCAAACTCTTAATCCAAATGGAACAAGCTATCCAAAGCCCGACCTAGCAATCTGCAACCCCTTTCTATCATCCGACCGAACACAAGAACGCTCGCACTATAGATTGAAAGGCCAAAGCATCAGATCATCATACTCCTCCTTCTAGCAGCAGCTCTTTCAGTCCTCCCAACACCTGTTCCCGCACCGTTGGGAGCGCTACCCCCCTGCGCTGAACTTGTTGATGTGGACGACTTTAAAGTCGTAACACTCGCACTCTTCTTCAGACCCACCTTATCATCCCGGCCATGATTGTCCTTGCGAAGACTTGCTGCGGAATGCGGGCGTGGTGGCTGATCACTGATATGCGCTGCAGTGGTCTTTGGTTGTGGTCGGTCAGATGATATGGAAGGATTTTCGAACTCTTGGCCCACTCTCCTCGAGCTGGTAAGGTTTGGTGAGTGCCGTCTCGATGTTTTCCGGGATTGAATTGCATTAGAATTTGGCAAATTGTGTGGAGACGGGTCCGCTCCTTCAAGAATAGAGAGACCATCGAGGGCCGCTTCCAGATGTTGTGTGTCTGCATTCGCGTTCGGTGCTGTCTCTGTCCCTGCCTCTGCCTCTGCCTGAGTTGCTGGTGGCGAGTTTCTAGAGGAAGATTTAGTGCCCTTGTTGACTAATGGACTCGTCGGCTCTTCTTGTGCTTCCGGCAGCCCCTTCCAAGCCAGAGACTCCTCACTGGGCTTCTCGCGCTTGATAGTCACGGTGCGCATTTTGCCGACACTAACATCTTGGTTTGATTGCCGCTCCTGGCTTTCAGCTCGTGCGCTTGAGTCTCTCGGCTGGGCTTTGAGGCCATTCGTCTGATCTCCAACCGCTGGCGCTAGTTCCTTGGTTGGGCGGCGCATCTTTGCTCTCAAACTTGGTTCTGCATAGCTGACTGCACCACGTGCTCTCCTAGAAGTACGGCCATCAGCACCGCCAAGTACATCCTCGACTGACGCACTGGGAGCGATCTCCGTCTGCTGTCCGGTTCTTGCGGAAGGCTCAGTGGAGGCCGGTGAGAACAAGTCGAGTCCTGCAGGTGTTTTTGGTGGGAGCTCGATTCCATCAGCACGTTGTGCAATGATGGCTTCGTCAGTTTGGCGGGGTTGGTCTTGTACTGATGATTCTGCAGTCTTCACTTGCACATTCTGGGGCTCAAACTGTTCCTCCGCTTGTACTCTACTTGCAAGCTCTTCTTTCGCAGGAATGTTCTTATCATCGACCCCTGTTCTTTTGGATTTGCTCGGAGAGTTTGTGCTCTTCGGCGCAAGCACTCTCCTGGTACTAGGTTCTAGCTTCGCGGTGGGACCCTTCGTCGTGGCGCTGCTTGTTGCAGACGTCGTGCCTGACTTTGCGAATCTGCTGCTCTTTGGACGCGTCTGTGGGGTCTCGGCTACAATGGCTCTTCTCTGAAAGGCGAAGTCATCCAGTTGTGATGGACCAGCTCCTTCTCTGTATCCATCTTCTTGTACATCCAGTTTCCTCTTCGCGCCTGATTTGAGGGACAAACGCTGATCAGCTGAACTGGAAGATTCTGTGCTGGATTGGTTTAGCGTTGACATATCTTCGAGCAAAGCACTTGCTCGGCGCCTTCTTCTCCTCTCAAGATTGTCAGGGAGCGGCTTGAAATCATCATTATGGTCCTGGTAGCCCTCTGTAAGTTGCACAGTGCCGACCTCCGGTGCTGGTATCGCGGCGAACCCAATGGGCTCTGCAACATCAAAGTGAGCAACAGGTGGCGGACCTAATTCAGGCGACTCTGATGCAGTGGCGTCATCTTCGAGAAGCCGACTGATCTCCAAGCTTTCCAATGTCTTCCTAGGATAGTGCTTGCCTTCCACAATGACTGGTAGCCGCCCCTCCTGTAATTGTCTCTCCACAGCGACAACACCGCCAATGGTTTGGCGGTTTCTCCAATCCTTTTGATCAGGGCTTTGCACAGGTTCCACAAACCCGGACCTCCTCCGTTGGTGTTGCGATGATCTCCTCTTGGCTTTCTCGGGTAGAGCTCCCAGCTCCGTGACCAGTGTGCTGACCTCAGACAATTTCGATTCCAGCTGCTCCTTCAGCTTACTGACATCTCTGAAGACTCTCTGAGAGGAGCGCAGTCTCTCCGCTTCCTGCGCACTGTTGATCGCTTGTTCTCGGATGGCAATATTCTCTGCCAGGAGACGGGATATCTCTGCCTCAAGGTTGCGGATACGGAGGGACTGGGTTGAGTTTACCCGAGCGATCTCGCGGTTTTGACGTATGAAGCGGCGTTTTACTTAGGAGAAGAACCGGTCAGTGGTAAGATACAGACTGGTGAGGCAAGAACAGTGTAACTGAAGTAGACATACAAGCATCAATTGACTCGATCGCGGGAGGTGGCTCATTAAGCCGTGCCATAGCTAGTATATCGGGAGCTCAGATGCTTGGTCGGCTCAACCAACATCGCAGGGACGAGAGAATGCAGCCTGAACGCTCAATTTTGACATACAATGATAAGATACGCAGATGTGCCCCAAAGTCTTTGCAAATCGATTGTTGACGTTTGTCCGAAAGCAGCCTAGCTCAACCCGGAAGACTTTCCGGCTATGTACGGAGTATGTAATATGTAAACGCGGAGTATGTAATAGACGCGTACAGTATGTAGAGGTGGTACCTGAAATGCCTGGATGCTGAACCTCAAAGACCCTCGATGCCAGCGAAGACTGACTAGAGTCGAGCATGGCACGATAGACAGCGGTCATTGAAAGCAACAAGAGCTGTTCATTGCAACCGAAAATGCCCTACGCTCCTCGTCCCACCACAGTCCTCCCCGCCTCAACCACCACCTCTCGCCATACAAACACCAGTTCAACCTCTTCGCAACACTCCGCTCTAGCATCACGCATCGCTGCGAAGCGAAGCGAGCTCGAGAATCTGAAACAGCTTCGTGACCTGAGCGGTGCGCTGGCCGAGCAGATGGGCGCGTTGGAGGAGAAGTTGGCTACATTAAGGGACGGGACAGAGGCGGTGGCCTGTGTGCTTGCGAATTGGGATAATGTGCTCCGGGCTATCAGTATGGCGTCAAGTGAGTCTATCCAGCTTGCTCTGCAGGAATGTGCCTCGCCGTGCTGGTGTGGCTGACTTGTGGATGCTTTGTAGTGAAAGTCCCGAAGCCTACTGCAACAGCAAACGGCGAGGATGAGGAGCAGCAGCAGCAGGGCCAAAAGGATGGGGAAGACCCAAAACTCCCTGTGACGCTGGTGAGGATACCCGCTCAGTCGCAGGATCCAAGACATAGAAGGTTGGAAGCAGATAGAACATCGTGAATACCACTGTGCAGGAGATGAATTACAATTTCGAAAACAACCAAGGCACCGGCAGAGGAGCGCCCACAATACTAGTTGAAGCTATAGCGTCAAGATTCCAAAGTGGAACAGAAGCCATACAGGGTTTCGAAGTGCAACGGTAGGCATGCTCATCTCCACCTGTCTGGTGCTCTTTTTGGCATCACACAAGGTTGTGTATGTGCCGGATACGACACGGCTGGAAGAGATGATCCCGCTGTCCGTATTCTGGCTGTGGATCTTGTTCTGGAACTACGTGAATACTTCGTGCAATGGGCGATGATTGAACTACAGATGAAACATCCCAACAACCTCTCGGAGTGGTGGGGAAACACTCTCGATTACTATGGCATTCCAACAGTAAAGGAGTCTATCCATATCCGTGACGCTGTCTCCGAGACGAGCTGTCAATGAACACCGCCCAGCACGACGCAATTTCAGTGCGCCTTCTGAGCCTAAGGATTTAGGCATTGAGTCCGTATCCCAGCGCCAGTCCCCTCTGCACAAGTAACAACAGGTGCTGCCACTTCTCATAAAGCTAATAACAAATTGAAGCCAACGACATGATGAGACGTTATCCTGGACTCAAGTCCATCTTCTCTGGGCCTGCTATTGTCTCAACAAACTCCTTCCTCTTATTCCCCATCCTTTCCTGCTTGAAAGCTTCGATCTTGGCCTTCATTTCAAGATCTGTATTTGTCAATTAGCACATGTAAGCATTTCAGGGAGAGAACAGAAACACGTACCAGGCTTCACGTCCTCAATCTTCAATGGCACGCGGTTGAACGGATCAGTCGGGTCACTCAACAAGTGACTCCTGATCGCACTTCGATCAACGACAATCCGACTAGTCGGCAGAATGACGGGATCATTCATTATCGTGTACAGCAATGGATCTAGGAATTCATCTGGAATATCACCCAGGTCCTGCTCAGCAGCTTCATCCTCTGCTTTGGCCGCTGCGAACTTCTTCTGCAGGTTCTCCCATTTCTTTAGCTCCTCTGGCGACTTTGGAGTGTGATGTTTTAGAATCACTCCTGCATTAGCGAAGACGTCGGGTTTGTAGGATCGACCATCTCGAGCGACAGCGAGGATGAAGTTGGGTTTCTCGCTCAGATTCAAATAGACGTCCATGATCTCCGAGAGTAACGCAGGCGGATCGAAGCCATATTCCTGCTTGTTCTGAACTGCCAGTTTGCCTTGTTTCGGCCCGGCCATAGCATCCAGATTGTAATCCAGCATATCAGCAAGGCGCTGGACGACTTCTGGCATCGTGAAAGCGTCGCTGAGTGCTTCCGTGAAGAGCTTCAGCATGGCCATGGTTTCATTCGTAAGTGACATGTATGACTTGGCCTTTCCCTGCGCACTGGCAAGTGCCTCCTCCTTCTCTTGGCGTTGAGCCTGGTCGAGCGAGGCGCCGGCATTGGCAAGTTCTTTCTGGAGTTCGGCAATCTGGAGGAAGGATGTGAAGGACTCGTCAAGCACAAAGGTGACGTCGTTGAGTAGTAGGTTGACGAACCGGATGAAGAATTCACTATTGAGTTTGGCTTCTTTGTAGAGATTGTCTCGGTAGACGGCGTTGGGCCATATGCATTTGATGATTTGAAAAATCTCAAATCGAACGTTGAACTTATCGAAGAATTGCCCATGGCCGCCCATGAACTCCGCTTCAATAAAGAACTGCATGAGAGCGTGGAGGAGATGTTCTGTAGCAAAGGGCATAGAGTTATAGATGTCGGCCAGCACACCTTGACCACCTGCTCTCCATTGCCAAGTGCCCTTGAACAAGATGGTGATAAGACCAGCTTTGAGGTATGGGTTTTTGATGTATTCAGAGCTGCGGAGAAAGGTAATACAGAGCATGACCAGCTCGTCGCTCTGCGTTGAAGGGATGATTTGGGGCATATTGCTCAGGATGAATTGAAAATTGTTGCTAACGACGTCTAAAAAATATTCTGGAAGACACCTGAAAGCTCCTGGAATCTCCTTAGGCAACGGTACTTCCAATTTCTCAGCAGGAAATTTGCCGGTCGGCGAAACCAGTCGTAAAATCCACACGATGAGGTAGCGCATAAATTGCATGGATCTTGTCTGGGCCAGCTCGTCCAGAAGAACGCCCTGACACGCAAGCTTATAGGATAAACCTTTGTCAATCTGGTCCTTGTACTTGTTAAGCGCACTCTCGAACATTCGCAGTTGCATCGGGTTATTAACGTATTTGTGGCGATCGGTTTCAAATTGGTCAAGCTGCTTTTGCATATGCTTGAGATCTTTTTCAAGCTCTCGCAGCATCGAATGAGCTGCCTCAGTCCCGTAATGGTGAGCGGCCACTGTGAGGAAGAAGATCTCACTGATGAAGTGGTTCTTACCTTCCACAGTTCGACCATAAAAGGCGTCAGACGCTTCCTGATCGGCATTGAGCTTTGTTTCGTCCTTCATATCGACACGAGGATGCCGCTGCAGGTACTCCACTTGAACTCGGTCGATTTTAGCGAACGTGGCATCCATAAATGGTTCACAAAGCTGGTCAAGACAGAGAGTCACATTGATCATGAAACCGTCTGATGAAACCGTGGATTTGTCGACTCTCAGTGCCCGCCGTTTGTGATTTGAGTTGACGACAAGTGCGAACCAATCCAGCACCCTTTGTCTTGCATCCCCAGATGCTCGTATCAAATGATTTATGATGTCCAATATCACGTTCTGATGTGTCTGCAACGTCAGACGTAATGATCTTTGTGCTTCACGAGCTCGACCTTCATCTATGGTTTTTGGACTAGAGAAGTACTGTTTGGTGACTTCCGCTTGTAAAGGGGAGATTTGAAAATAAGGTCCAAGCAGTGTCTTGACCTCTAACTCAGCCGCAGGAATACTTGCGTCCACGAACATGGACGATTCTGTGATTGCGATCGCAAGTGGTTTGAAGTTTACTAGATTCCTGAGGAGTGAGGTATAACATCGGTACTCGCTATCCATCGATAACCTGGCTAGTCTTCGGCTCAGGTGTTCGACAGCCCCAACAAATACTTCTTTGAGAGGTTCGTCGTCACCAATGCGGGACGACAGCTCACTCAGGAAATCATACGATAACCCGTTATCGTCTTCCGGGTCAAGGAGTAAACGATCTGCAAGCTCTTTCTGACCATCCACTTCCAGGCCAAAAACTTCTGGTGTCGTAATGGCGAAGATACACCAACTCATACACAGTCGACGCGCCTCCTGCACTATGACCCATTTCTTGTTTGCGGGACTCCTTTCTTTCAAGAACTTGTTGATGATACTTGACAGTCTTTTAAAGCTACCAATCAGCCAGTCGAGTGGTGTGGTCTTGCCTGACTTTGATCCCGCCTCCATAATTGCTTGCTCCAGGGTCTCTGTTGTCAGCATGATTGGCTTGCCCTCGTCTTCGAGCTCCTGGCGCAGCCCACCCACAGAATATAACTGCTGGCCATGAATGTCTTTTGTCTGGCTATGATCGAGGGTCAAGCGAAAGACGTTGCGTAACGTTCGATCCTCAAACTGCTCGATGGTCTCTCCTGCTCTGGAACTTGGCATAGATGATGGGGTACCGGCAACATCTCGCTTTTGTGGTGTGATGTGACTCGCAGGATTTGGCGTTATGCGCAAGCGACCCCCATCATCGCTCGGCGATTGTGCTGATTGTGAGGCGGATGATGGTCTCGAGGGTGAGGAAGGTCGGGCCATTTTGGTGATATTGACTGAGGGTCTTCGGGTTTGTTGGGTCTCTGTTGGGGTCCTTGAGGGAGTGTTCTCTGCAACTACAGCTTCGCTGGGGTTCTCTTGGGAGTCTTGGGACGCGTCATTGTTTCGGGGCGTTGGCTGCAATTGTGAAAGCTTTGCCAAACGTTTACTGCGGATCTGGTCTGGGGTCAGAATAGGTGAGCTTCCTTGTGGCACTTAATGACCCACCTTGTCCGCATCAGAACTTGGCTCTGCCATCTTGATTGTCAAGTCATATGCGATGACAAGCTTGCCACCTTCGCTGTCACCTTCCCTACTGGAAAGCGATAGAAGTCAACAGATGCAGTGATGACAGAGCCTTGGCCGAGCCCGGGGCATCTATGATTTCAAGTCCGCTGTTTTAGCCACCGCTTGCCTAAAGATGGATCTAGTTGGTACCCACAATTCTGTAGAATGCATGGCATTGCAAGAACACCAAACTTTTCTTCCTCTGATTTTACAACATTTGACCACCAAACAACAAATCATCACTTTTTTATTGTACAAGTTATGAATAAATAAAGTCTGATCTTGTCTGAATTTGCTTGTCATATTACATATAATATAAATTAGTGAAATGTGTTCCTTTTTAAAGAATCTTCAAATTTACTTTTCAGAGGTCACCTGAAATGTGATAAAAACAGAATTTCAGCTTTTTCAAGTTTTGCCTTCAACATCTCTTAATAAGACTATCATAACAATATGCACAAACAAGAGCAATCAACTGATAGTAGATTTTCATAATACCCTCTATTTGTAAGGAGAGAGGGACGATTTGAATCATCTGCGATGGCAGGATTCAGAAAAAAAAGTTGGAATTCTTGCATGCATTCTACAGAATTCAATTCAAGTGACTACTGTCGGAGGACCTCCGGACCGTAAGCGATGCCTACTCTAGGAGTTATCAAGGATCTATAAGGCTGACTGTGCTCCACACACCTCTTGCATTGCAGCCATTTTCCAATGAACCTAGACAAAATAGATGGGCGCAGGAATAATGGATTGCTGCCAGTCTTGTTATGCTTGGACGCCTCGCAATGCACTGCTGAACGCTTCAAAACAAAGGATCCAATAGATTCTACTAATACTGCCTGGACACACCCAGCTCATTAAGGCGATTACAACTCTTCATAGGCATTGCTCTCGCCTGTCTTAGCTTGCTCTCGTCGGTAGAAAACCATCCCTGCGCCTCTTCTAACATACGGTTCCTTTCCGAGTGCTCGATTTGGCAGTCGTATTTCAGGGTGTTGACGTACTTTACTTCCGCCCTTTGATCCAGCTGCCGTAATTTTCTTTCGCTGTAATCATCGACTGCTTGAGGATCAACATAATAATTCACTTGAAATCTCGGCGTCGTTCGGCGTAAGGTATTAGGAGGAGAGCGGTTGAACAGCACGTCTGGTTCAGACGAGGCAGCTCCGGTAAATAATGAACTCAGAATAGGTAGAACGAAAAGAAGTAGGATTGGTAGGAGCTGTGTGAGGGCAGCCAGTCCGGATGGAGGGGTATCTTCCTGTCCGGTCGCATTTCGAGGCCTTCGTCTTGGGCCCATGCCGCCAAATTGATGAACCCTTATACCTGGTGCTCCGCCCATGTTGAAGACGAAACCGGGGCCACCGCCCATGCCACCACCTATTCAAAGTCAGCTAAAACGACATACATGTATTACAGGGCGCAAGGAACCGACCAAACGGTGTAAAGCCCCCTCCCATGCCACCTCCGAAAAACTGATTGAATAATTCTTCTGGTGATATTTCAGCGTCGAACATTGGGTTTCGGCCTCCCGGAGACCTTGCGAAACCACTGAACGGCGAGGGAGCAGCGCCAGCCCCACTGTTAGAAAATCTGTTGTCCGGATCTCCACCGAACTGATCGAAACGAGATTTCTTGTCAGGATCTGATAATATCTGGAAGGCTCGGGAAACCACTGCCCGTGAAATCAGTCTTGGAGAAGCCTAGGAGCCTTTTGAGCGTCCCACTCACTTTTAAAAGCTTCATCTGCGCCCTCGTACCCATTCTTATCCGGGTGAGTAAGTAGACTTAATTTTCTGTAGGCCTTCTTTATGTCTGCGTCGCTCGCGGTCTTCTCCAAAGACAAGATCTCGTAGAACGCTGTCGAGGCGCATTTTCTCACTCGGATGACAGCAGTCTTCTGCTCAATAGTATATTTGCGCTCCTGGTTTCCTTGTTTGTGGTCGCGAGAATTTGCGTTGCCATCTGGGGTGGCTTTCGAGCCGCTGGCAGTAGCGGACATATTGGGGTGGTGATACGCCCAAGAGTGTTTTTTTCTACAGCCAAGGGTTTCGCGTGGTTGAGTTGTTCGACTTGAGGACTTTGCTCCGAATTAGCCAGGGCTGCGACTTAAAAAGCCGCAGGATACATAACTGACAGGGTGGTCGCAAATGGGAACCCCACGCTAGCGGAGAGGTCGCTTCAAAGCTCCGGTGATGATGAAAGACAAAGATCGCACACAACGCGCTCGCGTGTTATTTTCAAGACATTGGAGGAGAGGTTTCAAGAGCTACTATCCAGAAAACAATCTCTCGTAAAGGTATAGGGCAAGTATTCCTCAGCCTTGATGCGACTTACCGTGCCTCCGCAATTACACGACGATGGAGGACCCCAAGCAGGCCAGGGAGAAGACAAAGAAAACAACCATCGAAAATGCTAAAGCATGGGGTGGTGAGTTTCCCTATCGGCTGCTTTTCGCCAAACTCTGACGCTTACCACAGAGTACTTGCTAAACTTGCTCATAGAAAGTCCATTGCCACCATCCATCCTTGCGACTCTCGTGTTCGCTCAGCATGCTCGACCTTTCCAAGTGACTCCCATGCTCTTCCCTCCACTGCTTCTATTCTCAACGTATCTCAATCTGCAAGGCTACAAGATCGACAGTGCGGGCACCACGGCTGCCTTTAGCGGCCTCTATCTTGTTCTGGCGGGGAGGAGACGACACCCATTCATGAGCAAGTTTGGCGCCAGAGGCATTATCCGAGGTGCTACTATGGGCTTATGCCTGGCAAACGTTGTCGGCGGCGGACTGGCATATACCTTCGGCTCGAGGAGGAAAGAGGACGATAAGGGAAGCAATATCTAGATTGTACAGTTGCGACACAATGAACATAGTCGGCCTTTTAACATAAATCTGGTGTTTCCGCCACAGGAGTCATGGAACCGATGCTTCAGTGGTCACCTCATCGCGTCCTTTTACTTGCCGTCCAAATACAGTTTCTCCGAAATTATCCAATCTCGAATAGTTGGCATAACATACTTGTCGAGCTGAGATGGATCACTTTTTGCCGCTTTCCTCGCCAAAGTCGAGCTAACAATATCTTCACCATCCCGGCTACCTTCGACAAGGGTAAGCTGCCGTGCCCAATCACGTTGGGCTCCCTCGTCAGTTCTTTTCCCATCAGCAATATTTTGGATGTACCGATCCTGCTCTAGCCGACTGCCCCATTCATCGTCAGTACGATATGTAGCCCTGAGCCGATGCTTGCTCAAGAACGGCTCCAACACCCGTAAATGATGGTCTGGCGGGTAGTACTTGGTATTGAAGATCCTTATAAGGGTGTCGAATCCGACCAAGTGAACTTGCTGTGGTGATTTTGGGTAGACACCTGATTCATCCACCGCTGCAGCTTTGTCATGAAAATAAGGCTGTTTGACAAGGCCAATATCAATCAACGGAGGTACTTCCTGCTGTAGGTCATACAACAGTTCATGCGCAAAAAGAGTCATCATAACAAGTCTATCCTCAAGTGAAGCAGGCATGCGCGCTTTATCTGCATTTTGTGTTGCCAGCAACAGAAGTAGTCGCTTCGGCGCTGAGCCACGATCTTCCGACAATGCGGAGGTGGCGATTCGATGATGAGCCTTGGTTGGTGGATTAAATGATCCATCAAGCACGTAAAGGGTTTTGGCAGCTGTCGCGGGTGAGGACTCGGAATGGGGAACTGTTCGAACCAGCTTGAACGATGAAGGTGAGTTGGCGAGGTCTCGCAACACCGAGGCACAAGACGCCTTGAAGGAGCGTAGCATTTCAGATTCAAGCTCCAATTCCATCGACGACTAATCCTACGGAGCTTTGACGAAAGCACACCAGATTTGTGACTCTTGTGATGAAGCAAAGAACGACAATCGATGTTTGCTGCTCCTTGGCGGACGCTCATTCGTGGTTGAAGTAGTAGTAGTAGTATGTAGTTAGTATTACTATACTACTATAAAATGGAGATATGACAGCCTTGGCATTTAAGGGGCATGAATTCATCATTAGCAACGGTCAAACTTTACGCACCGAGTTATGCTGACTTCTTGTGCTCTTCAATTCAGAGACAGATATGGCCTTGTAATGACGTATAAACAGCATCTGAGGCTCTACTCTAAGGTACAGAGCGGAAATCTAGCTTTGAGATCATGAATTTGGACCTTGACATCAGCTCGGAGTCCCGAACTACTAACAGCACATTCTTTTTCCCCTTCCAGATTTTATTTCCTCATGAGGTATAAGGTAGATCGATGCTCTCCTTTACAGACTGCATTTATCGGAGAGCAGATTCATCAAGACCCTATGAGCCGCCACCTTCTGGAATAGATACCAGGAGTCGTCCCCTTCCATGTGTTGTTGCGCCATAGTATTCGCGTCAGAAAGGTCGAATTCAAATTATGGAGTGATAAAGAACCACAAAAATTAAATTGTATAGTGCTCTAGTCTCTAGTAGTTGATTCACTGTGCCGGAGTAGAGTTCATGATAAATGGAGAGCACGCCTGCCAGGTACCAAAGCAAATGTATTCATGTGTAACGCTTTGATTACTGCTTCAAACTGACACCCATGCTCGTACAACCTGCTAGACTCATTTTGTGGCTCCATCACTTTGTTGAATGATACTCAAGCGTGGATAAAGATCGTGTAGCTAAAAGCATGGCTAGTGCTAAAAGAGCTTGCAGGTCAGTGATAATGCCACTGCCCCCCAAAAAGGGAATACCAGCCAGATGGCTGGACTTTGATCTCATATCTAGAATCACATGTCGTCTAAAGTGTTACTGTTTGGTGTACATTCCAAGCGTCGTACTCTGGCCTCGTGGGAAATGAACCCGATATGCAAGAATGAAGCAATAAGAAGACAAAGTATTTTTGCAGTGGTTCCAAAAATAAATTGTAGATGACAAAAGGACAGTCGAACCTCGTGCGCCAAGAGAAGGACCTCATGATAGGTTTTAGCGTCAATCCATGTTGTACGTAGTATATAAGTGTTGGTGAAAGGTATGTACGCCAATTCATGCTAGTGGAGCTTAGTAAAGCTGAAGAGGCATGGAACGGTTACGGCTGTAGCCTTTCCTAGGGTTTCTGGTTTCTTCTTGAAGGCAACGAACGACGTCTGCTGTCAAAGCTAATGGTAGAGAGGTGGGGAACACACTGGAACGGAAAATGCGAGCTTTTGCGAACGTTGAAGGCAACCGCTAAAACTTAACATGAGTTAGTAACTATGGTTCTGCTGCGGGCGGCGCTCTGAAGTGTACCGATTGGCTGCAGCCACCAACTTGAAGCAGCCTACGTACTACGGTAGGGGGCAGAAGTATTCATAGCTTTGTGCTAGGGACAGCTAGTTCTGATACAGCGCCACATTGATGTCTACAAGCTTTTTGGACCAGGTCTCATGGTTGTTGGCCGGCAGCAATACCACTTAACCTCTCAAAGCTTAGCTGATTCGTTTGTAGTACGTTTCCTGACAGAAATACTAGTGCCAAGGTATGGATACTTCTGCCCGGTACCATAGTAGTACTAGCCTCAGCCTTCAATTCGGGTCCTGCTCTCTCTCCAGGGCAGGATGCCAAATCTTGGCATCAGAAAAGCGAGACAGCTACAGAAGTTCGGAGGTAGCGTGAGAAACTATGATGACTCTCCGTCTAAACATGAAAACGTAACTGTTCTTATGCTTCTACACCGATTCTTCCAACATTCCATACAGGATTCAGACCACTCAGCTCACTAATATGCTCATATCCTCTATCCCACACACAAATACAAATATCCTTGATCCCAGCCAGTCCTATACAGCCAATTCAGAATTGATCTCTATCTAAGAAGCATGGGGTGCGTGTTCCAACTCTTCCATACTGTATTGCCAACAGATCGGTCGTAGAATCAATTCAGACCTTTCTTGTATCTAACCATGGCATGCAGGATCCCCATCGACTACTCCCCCACCAACTCCGCACACTCGACAGAAGCAAACTCGAATCAAGATCGTGACAACATCAAGCCTCACGTGGAATCCTTCCTCCGCAACACCGAAGACCCTTTTATAGTTGGCATGACCACAAGAGCTGGCAATCCTGGCATGCGTGCCGCGGTGGTAGTGGAGCCAAAATTCTGGTCCGGTCAGTGGATGAGACGAAGTACCTAACTCCACTCTCAACACTGTGACAAAGGGTACTAGGTGTGAGGGCTGTGAGGGCTGTGTCGACGAGCAAAGGTTTCCCATCATACCTAATTGAGCACGGGAAAGCGACAGAGCGGAGTCTTGGCGTAGTTCAGGGATGCCAAGATTTTGGTACCCTCCAAATGTATTAGGCCCAAAGCTCACAGTTTTGGCTCTTCTGCTGCTTTTGAGCTCCCTGGTAAGGGGCCAATCATTTCACGCCACTTTTCGTCGATAGTTGTCTTCTCTGTGAATGATTTTATGGCCCATAAGCTCCTAAACTCTTCCTCATCTGCATTCCATATCTTCAATTCTGCATCAATCCACTGCGCGGCAGACTCAGCGCATTGGCCCACGGCTTCCATAGCTACCAGGTGACCAATGCCTGGTAAAACGACTTCTTGAACCTTCCCGGCTTTTGCGCCACCACTGCCTCCCACACCGACTCCAGTCACATCCATCTTGGCTTTTCTCCGCTCAGCGGTTGACATGTCAGAATCACCTCCAAATATGTACAGCACACTGGGACGTAGATTGGGCAAACGACGGAAGATATCTAGAGGTTCTGGGCGAACAAATTTCAAGTTAACTGCAATTTCTGGCTCCATATCAATGTGGCGTTTTCGATCAAAGTGACCTCTCTCAAAGCCCTCAAAATTGGGTCTGGTAAAGGTGAATACTTCTTGGTGTTTTGTAGTCTTGAGCGTGACTCTTTGATCCCCTTCAGTTAAGTCGGGATACAAAATAGTGGGTAGATCTCGTAGACCATACTGAAGCCACCTTTCTAGCACTCGAGAATCCCAGGCGGCGTAGAACTTGCTTTTCTTGAAGCTCTTGGCTGCCTCGTCCCTCGAGGCCCAGATGTCTCTCCGCCAGGTCGATAATCTTGCAAACTCATATGTTTCGGAACCATAAGGTCTCTCTGGGAAGATGACAACAGGGTCGAGTAGAACCAGCGTGGTAAGCAATCGAGGATGCATTAGTGACAGTGATATTCTACTTGAGGTCAGCTTTGCCGCCTATCTGGAGTTTGAGGTGTGTACAAATGACTTCCTCCGAAACTGTGCCCAATGCCAACGATAGGCCGCGGCATCTGATCACGTTTCACATTGATCAAATGCAGAAGGTCTCTAGCGTGATCATGCCATCCAGGATCATTGCCCAAAAGTCGTTCGTTCAGTACGCCGCTATCCCCTTGATGGACAACGTCGGCTATCCATATGCTTCGAATACGAAAACCTTGTTGCTCCGAGCGATCCAGGATCTCGTCCCATAAAGGCTCATACAGCTCCTTCGCAACTATCAGCTGTGCATGATCTCCTGCCCAGAGAGCAGTACCTTGGGGAAGCCATTGGCATGCGCGCCAATTATGGTAACGTCACCCGGTTGCGGATCCAAGTTGTCCAACGGGGTGTATTGCTTTACGGCAAGGTTGAGCACATCTTCCTGCTCATGTGCTGTAGCTCGCGGATACTCTCTTATGTGCTGACCGGGGACGATGTGTTCTGCGACACGAAACAAATGCGCTGACATCCCCAACATTCAAGGCAGTACGATATCCGAGATCAGCTACATGGGAATCGTGCAAGTCGGAAAAAATCTGGCAGCACTACTATGTAACTAGTAACTGCGGAGCACCTTGAGCAAGCATCCTGCCGAGGCCTGGTGGGGCAGTGCTCGAGCCTGCTGTGTGGGGTCTCCGCTACTTGCCATCCCACATCGCGACGTGACCACCAAAAAGGCAGAAATCCTGAGCATATCCGCCTTGTTCATGGACGGGATTAGTGTGATATGGAGCATTGAATTACGGCAGGCAGTGGGACTCCGAAGGAACAATGGTAGTCGCACGTGATGTCGTGGGAGAAATTGCAGAAATGGATTAAATAGCAGCCCTACTATCCCACGCGCCGGTGGGAATTTGCTGCATTTTAGCGTGCCAAGCATTTTCGGTCTTGGCATGACTTTTTTTCCATTTTCGGAGGATCGGCGCCATCCATCCCAACTTCTACATGGAATTGCGCAGGTCTCAACGCCAGCCAAAGCCTAGAACTATATGGGAAGAAAGAGGTGCTCCTTCTGCAGCTAGGGACCCCAAGATCACCCAGAGAACTGACCGAACGAAGCAGCAAACGGCTCTCAAACCTGTTGCCATTGGCCCTCTTCCGAAAACGCTCGAAATTGACGTCAATCAACTCCCTAACCTCCCTATGTATAAACCATCGTTAGAATTACGATTCGAGCGCTCAAAACCTCTTCTAGAAGGTCTCTCAGAGCTTGATACATTCCAAAAACTCCTTACGCCTGCTATAATCGACAGAATTATCAAATCAACGAATAGCTATGCCAAAAACGCTTGTGAACTAAATCTTGATAAAGACGATCCTGAATCCTTTTCTAGACCCTAGAAACTAGTTAATAAAGTTGACATATAGCGATATATTAGTTGTTTGCTTTATATAGAATATTATAGATTATCTAAACATAAAGAATGTCACGTGTCACGTTGGAAGCAGGCGACGAGTGCGCGAGATCTTCAGCCCATGTTGAGTGCTATCCTAAGACTGCAGAGCCGACGAGGATGGCACTGGGGTCGCTCCTATATAGCGAGCATGCCCCTTACTAACGCGTAGTGCCAATCAATCCCCGGCGGCCCTAGCGCTAGCGGCCGACAAGCATGGCAGCCGTGACAAAGAATATTAGAGTAAGTCAGGTTATCTAGACGTATTCCTAAGTCTAATAAGATATAAGCAGATTTATTAATATTTTATGCTTTAAGACTATATAACTACTCTTTATTAAGAATATGAAACTTTTGCTTAATAAGTAAAACTAATTAGGTCTATTATTAAGTAAAATTACAAAAAGAATTAGTATTTAAGCTCTTATTTAGCTAT